AATATATTATTTTTCTACCTTTTAAATATTTTTTACCAGACTCTGGTAAAATATTATTATCTCTAAAATATTGTAAACGTGGCCAAATTCTTTCTTTCTACTCACTAGGAGTTTCATTATCTCAAATTTGGGTCATTGCACAATATTCATCCTATTTGTCAAAAGTTAAATTAGTTCCTGGATATAAAGCCATTTTAGTTATCTATTTTAAGATTCAGTTTTGTTAGTATTTTACTATATAATACTTATAAAATTGTTTTATTTAAATAATAAAAAATTTATTAAATATTTATATATTATGCATGGTGAATATTCCTGTCCATTTATTAAATTTACAGGTGAAACTTGTGGAAAATCCTGTATCGTAAAGAGGGGTGTTCTATTCATTGGAAGTATGTTAGAAAATTAGTTGATAAACAACTTATTCCTTGTAGTGAGTGTGAAAAACTTACTAGATCACATTCTGGTCAATGTCCTATACATGTAAGAGGATTCTATACTTCTCAATATTATTACAGATTACGCTCTAAAGCACAATTAATAAATAATTAGAATATTGATTATGATTTCTGAAATTTCAGTATTCTGATATCATTTTTTTGTCCTAATTCCTGCCTTCTCGCAATTCTTGCTCAAGCCAGAATCTAGGTAAATATTTTTTTCTTTTTTTGAGCTTGTGAAAAAAAAGGGTAAATATATCTGAAATTTTGGTATCCATATCTGAAATTTTGGTACCAGTATCCCAAATTTTGGTACCTGGGTATCATAATTTTGGTACCCATATTTGAAATTTTGGTATCGGTATCTCAAATTTTGGTAATTGCCAAGGCGGATACCAAAATTTAACCTTTGCTAGATAATATTAAATTACTTTTTTGAATTAATTCTGGGATAACATAAAAAATAGTATGCATTTTAGGCTTGAATGGGCTTGCAGAGAAGCACACTCGGACACTTCGGTCTTTGGTGCTCTCTGCTCATTTCAAGGGCAAGCAAGATAGTATAATTGTTTTGTTATCTTGTTTGGAATTAAAATCATAGCCAGAACATTAACAAAGACTATGTTTATCTTAATATTGAAACCCAAAATTAGGTGTAAGAAAAGTAAGTTAACAGGAATTGGCTTTAGTGTAATTTAAAGCTTGAATTTAAAATATGATTAAATATATCTAGAAGTGCTTGTAAAGGGGGTAAGGAACCTATTCTGAATACATTTACGGAATTCTGTTCTAGAACCCTTCTTTATGCTCTACTAATAGTTTGGAGCTGTATAACTTCGCATGGTGTTGGTAAGATATATCACATCAAGACTCATCTAGTTAATAAAGGTTATCGTATAATTCTGGCCAAAGATCTTTTTGGCACCTTACTTGAACATGACTTAGATCTTAAAGATATTATTTTATAGCATGATGGGGACCCAAAGTACAGAGCAACAGATATGAAAAACTGGATCAATCAAAGAAATATTAATACCCTTAAATGGCCTCCATATTCTGCTGACTTAAACCTAATAGAAAATGCTTGGAGTGAAGTAAAAAAATGTCTAGAAGAGTGTCTAAAAGAGCTAGAGCAAGAGCAAGGATCGGCCACGAAAAAAGAAAAGCTAAATAAATTGTAGAAAATGGTAGAAGAAGAATGGAAAAAAATTAATATTAATTTTATTGCCAGTCTCTATGATTCTATGCCCAAAGAATGGCTGCTGTAATTGCAAATGATGGTCTTTACACGGATTTCTAAGTAGAAAATAGTTATATGAAAGTTGGATGATTGTCATCAGTATTAAAAATTCGGCACTTTTGTGCAACAAATTTTTTTTATATATAAATGTTATTTTATTTTTTGTGTATTTATACAGCGTATTGTTAATTTTGTGCAAATAACAATTGTCACCAACTACACCAGCATTAGTGTCCAGGATTATGCTGCAAATGGTAAATTCAGTCAGGCATATTACCAAAGATGGAAATCGATTCTAGATCATTCCATTGAAATATAGTTGGCTGCTTTTTGCTAAATTTGGTTACATTTTGTGGCATTTTGCAATAGCTAACCATGACAAATAATTTTATAAATATAAAGTTGAATGTTCAAAATTTTATAATCAGCATTGTTTCATCACGATCAATCCTTTATTTTAATGTGTGTAAAGACTCAAAAAAATTTATAACTTTTACTATTCTTTTCTATTAAAATTTATAATTTATTTCGCTAATTAATATTATAACTCATGTAACCGAAACAAAAGAATCACTTGATCTGCTTTTCTATAACATAAAAAGGGCGATCTACATTGCCGGGATCGCTAAAGCGGGGCAATTAAAAAAGTTATTTTTGGATGCAGTTAGGGTAGATGTTTTATTTAAATATCAAAAACATAATTATGTAGTATATAGATCCTTATATTAAATTTACCCTGCTTTAGCGGACCCCATTTTTGGTAATGTGCCCACTGAAATTATGCAAAATTATGCAAGTTTTTTTTTTACCTAAATTATGCTCATATTATGCACTATCTTGAAAATTATGTAAAATATTCGAAAATGTTTTTTTATCAGAAATTGAAATTAAAGTCAAAGATTAGTACTATTTATTTTGTTTTACCGATGCAAATTTTATGCCAATATATACAATATTTAAAATCTATGTAAAAAAAATATACGAAAATTCGATCAAAGAAAAAATAAATGTTGCACGATGAAAATGGATATCTTTTTACGAAATTTGGACTTATTTTGATATAAAAACTTAAAAATTTTTGGGGTATTTTTTTTACTGCTTTTTTTTCTAGAGTTAGATTAGGATTTAGAGTTAGAATTGATAATTAAAAAGCATATGTAAATTTTAGAGGGCTCATATTTTAAAATTGAGATCCCAAATTTCAGCATCAGCTATGACAATTAATATCGCCATAATCGTTTTGAGTATAACCTTGTTCCCATATTTTGTAGACAGAATTCCTAAAAATTCTAGAGTTGGCATGAATGAAATAGAATTTGATGAAGATCAGGAAATCATCCATCATATATATTCAAATGAAATAACCCGAACAATTGACAGTAATAAGAGTTATACGTTTCTATAAAAGATAGTAAAATAATTAACAATGTCCTATCAAATGAATCAGAGAACGTATTATTAATAAAATCATCTATAACTCTAACATACCAGAATGTGATACTCCAAGCCTCAGTGCTGTGCAATTTAGTAAATTCTGAAAAGAAATATTAAGATTAGAACAATAATCTCTGATCACTATATCAAGATCACGGAAGGATTAATTAATAATACCCTGACAGTATATGAATAAGCGAAAACTTTGTTTCTGCTAATTCATAACAGATCAGGTTATTATTATTACAAATATCTAGAAAATAAAGAGAAAATTATCAGTAAAGCCCTTAATACAAATGTGGGACAATAACGGAGTTAATAAACAAAATACTTCCAGCACTGTGATGAAGTCAACCCTTATCTTCAAAGTTATCACCCGGAATTAGAATAAGAATACTGAAATAGCTAGACAAAGTTATTGTAACAGTTAGTAAATTCTTAAAAGAACACAACAGTAATAATAAAGAAAAAAAAGATACTTATCATATATTAAATATCCTTTCTAAAAAATTAGCCCAAGTAAAATCCTCTGATATAAAAATGATAGTCGAACCTGAAGATAGGAATTGGAAATGCCTAAAGTTTTTCTTAATCATTTAATTGTTTAATTTGGCCGGCATTAAAATAATTCCAGCTCACGACCAACATAATGCCGCCCGGGGACTATGGAGCAACTTTTAAACGATTCCAATCCCTACCTGAAGAGAGTGACGAAATATAGAAAAAAAAACTTAGTTAATAAAATATTAGTTGAGGGAAAAAATAACAACTATAAAGAATAGACTGATAAACAACAAACTTATCTTGTTCAACTGAATTATCATCAAAAGACATCAAAAGCTAAACGACTTTTTCGACAAATTTCCTCCATTGATGAAAATGTTGATAAAACTAAATACATACATACAATATATATAAATTAGCCCTGGCAAACTCAAACTAAAGAGACTCTGGCCAGTATAATGTATACGGTCGCGATAGTATCATCGCTCACACTCGATGCCGTAATAAGTGTACTCTAGACTACTTACCAAGAAATGATTTTGAACTACGAAATCCCTCCATTGATGAAAACATTGATAAAACTAAATAATATACAATAAATTAGCTCTGGTAAACTCAAACTAAAGAGACTCTGGCCAGTATAACATATACGGTCGCGATAGTATCATCGCTCACACTCGACACTGTAATAAATGTACTCTAGATACTACTTACCAAGAAACGATTTCGACTAATAATAGTAAATAGAAAAAAATTAGTATATTTAACTCACATACAATGTTATAATAGGTAAGAAAAAAATTAATACATCAAGCTAAATTATAATTTACTGTTATTAAACAAAAAAAGGAGTTCTTAAATACAGTAGTGTTTGTTTGGTTTGTTTTAAATTTTCCTGATCGTGTATCGATATACGAACCATTTTACTTATTTGCACAGGTGATACAAACCAAAAAAAGGAAGGATAACATCATTATTCGAACAATGGTAATTTGGGCTGACACATGCCACTTCTTGGCCCATTATTCAAAAATTTTTGCTGAATAATATATACTTATCTGTAAAATTTTATTTCTGACATTTTTAATTAGTGCACCAAGGTCGATTTAAACACTAGTTTTTGCATATTTTCGCCTTTCGGTCAGTGTTTATTTTTCACGTACCCACATCTGTGCGGATCCGATCAAATTGCTTTATTTTCAAAAAATCAAGTAATTTGATTAGATCCGCACACATGCTTTCCTCTTCAAGTGTTTTGTTTTGATTTACTAGCTAACGCCACAAGTAGACTTTCATCTGATTGGCTTATATAAATAAATTGACTGGCATAACAAAGTGTAACAAAGATAATCAATTCAATACTAAATATATTTCAAATCAATCTAAGCGACTCCACCATATGTTCTGAGTGCTCGACCATAAATTTTGAGTGCTTCACTGTCGAATGTTCTGAGTGCTCCACCGTCAAATGTTCTGAGTGCTCCACCATAGGTTCTGAGTGCTTCACCATCTTATGTTCTTCCCACGAATGCTCCTCTGTATGTTCCTGCGAATGCTCACCTATAGTTCCCGCGAATGCTCACCTATAAGTTCCCGCGAGTGCTCTCCTGTATATTCCTGCGAATGCTCCCCTGTATGTTCCCGCAAATGCTCCCTATAAGTTCCTGCGAATGCTCTCCTGTATGTTCTTGCTCCTCTGTGTGTTCCCGCTCAATGTATGTTTTCGCTTCCCTGTATGTTTCCGCGAGGGCTCTCCTAAGTCTACAAGTATCAGGTATTTATAAAAAAATTATTACAGTATATTAGTACAATTTTTACGATTAAAACACTACTATTAATTCTTAGTATGAGAACACGAAGTCAGAAAAGATGGTCGAAACGAAAGCTAAACGCTCTTATTGAAGGAATGAAAATATATAGTACGTCTTGGGCCACTATTATGACAATGTTTAGATGTAATAAAGGTCCTTTAAGTGGGAGGACACAAGTTGCTTTGAAAGACAAAGTGAGAGCAAAATTAGAACATAGAATAAGACGTAAACTACCACTTAGTGTATTTAGTAAGGTCAAGTAAGTAGTATATTTGCTTGAATGTTAAATGCGATTTTAATGTTAATTAATTATGTACATTTTTATTTAGAGTTCATAAAAATTTTAAACCTTAAAATTTTGTCCTAAAAAATTTTTTTTTAAATAAAAAACGCGATGACTTGCGGTAGAAGAGTCGGTCGTGACAGTTGTGCGGGTATATAACCTGTGGTATAGAAGTTTCGTATTGTACTTTGTTATTGAGTGTACTGTACTGTACATAACTATAATGTGTATTTGTACAGTACACCTTTTAATTATATAAAATGTAAATAAGTACTGTACTGTATTAAATAAAATTATAAACGACAGTACAGTACAGTACATTAAGCCTTTAATATCGTTACCAAAAGCAATTTAAAATTAATACGAAGGAAAACTCTGTTATTGAGGATTCAGGTTTATTGCTTATTGGACTCACTAATTTGTTAGGATTGTGACCGGTAAATTATATAATTTTAAAGGATTTTACTAAAATACACCTATGGTGTTTACATCTATATGTACATTATCTCAAAAACTGGCTAATTAATCGATGCAAGGTGTTTTAAGTAAAAATGTTCTATGCCTCTAAAAACTCCTCCAAAACCCTAATCCTAACCTTAACTGTAAGTTAGCCTTCAGATAACCCGTGGATGTAACTAAAAAATCAAGATTCTAATCATATTTATTGAATAAGTTTTAAGAATGCTTAGATCCCAAATTAAAGAAGGTCTGCTAACATTTAATTCTTCGAACTGATAGCTCTCTAAATTTTTCAATTATTGCTAGTGAAGATGCTTTGAAAGTAGACTGCCCTCCAACAGGAAATTAACAAGTACTAATCACTGTTTTCTGAGAGACAAAAACTTAGTCAAACACTCAGATTTGATGAAGCCCACCAAACTACTATCATTCACTGCGAAAAAATAATTACTACTATTTGCCAGAAGTCAATATCGCTCCTATTAAAATTTCCCATTAAGAAATTAAAAAGGTCATTCAAACTCTCCCCCCTTTACCCTGTATCATTTCAGTATTCAATCAGATATATGTACGCATGTAGTTTTATAATGATTATATTAGGCCACACAAAGTTGAAATTCTTTTGCATTACCTGGCATTTCGAAGTCCAGTTGGGCGGTTGAAATTTTATTTTTTTGTTAATAATATAAATTAATAGACTCATGGTCTCATGAATTTTTATGTAGCCAAAGTCATTAATTTTTAAGGCTTTCTTGAAGGCATATTTACTTATTCGGATGATTTCAAGTTCTTAATATTCGAATCAGTTAAATCATAAGGTATTATAAAACAATACCTATTGGTAACTTACCAGGTACGTATGAGAGTGACATGAACTGTACTAGCCTTAATAATAGACAATATTCAGCTATTTGGATTAATTATTTGTTTAGTAGAATTCGTAAGCCTAACTTCAAAATTTTGTAAAATTTGCGAATCAAGAAAAAAAAAAAATCACACGATTTTTAGCCGATTTCTAGGTGATTTCTAATTTCTCAAAACAACTCTTACATCTAGTTATAAAATTGTTATATTGGAGTTGTTTTAAAAAATCAGAAATCACCTTA